GACGTTTGTAAGCATCAAAGAGATATAGTGACTGACACAGACTCTCCATGATTTGCTCATCCATCTCAATATATGCTGGACAGGGGGACGAGATTTGCCAACGATCCAGATGTCTGTTGGGGGCTGCGTTGAAATCCTCTGCCATTACAACTGGAATTCCTATCGGGAGACGATTATTTAAGGATTCAAAGAACCTTCTTTTTTCCCCTACCTCATTTAGACCATACACGCAGAAGATAGTTATCACCTATATTTCCAGCATTGCTAATGTAAATACCAATTTCCCCTCCTCCTTGTCCGCTTCCCAATATCGGGGATCAATCCTTGAGTTTGGGATCCAAATAGCTACCCTCGGATCAAACCGTACAAGTGGAGTTTGCACGAACGACTTTAAAAGATTAACCCGACTTCCGCAAAAAATTCTAATCATCCCGTCTTCTTCACTTCTCCCCTCCTCTTGGAACTTCCAGCCTCCTTCTCTCGTCTTTCTGTCTCTTCATTCCCCACCTTCCAAGCCGACACCCCACCACCTTCTCCGCTACCACCTTCTCCGCTATAAGTTCACCCAATGACTGATATTTTGTTATAACTGACTTATTTTGTAAAATGGCGAAATGGAATTCAGTGAAAAATTGAAAATTTGATTTTTGGTGTAAAATAGTGAGTTCCATTTTGTATTGAGTGAGGGTAGACATCACTTAGGGCCAGATCCCACTAGCAAGGACAATTGGAATAATTGTTTGAATCTGAACCTTTTGCATGCATAGATGCAGAAAAGTAGATCAATCACAATTTTTTGCACCTCTTCACAAACACGTCCAGATTCAGACACTCATTCCAATCCTCTTTGCCAGTGGGATCTGACCCTTACTCAATATGAAATGGAAGTCGTTATTTTACATAAAAAATCTAATCAATTTTCACTAAATTCAATTTTGTGATTTTATGAAAAAATGCCAGTTCAATCCTTTTCTCTTCTCCTTGCTGATCTCGGCGGCCATGCTGCGTGGACTATGCAGCAAGGCTGCAGTGCCGCATACGCTCGTTGTGCCCAACGACAAGTGGAGTGACGGAGTGGGGTAAGTCTAGCGGTAGTATAGATAGGTTGTAGTTGGAGAGATTGAGCAGTGCTGGAGACGAGGGTGTGGCCAGGCACATGACCTTGTAGCTAAGTTGGCGCATGTCTTGAGGTTGGATATGGTGAGTCGCGCACCTGTGGCAGCAACATTAGTATTAAACCACCGGTACTTCTTAGAGTCGTGCCCTTTAACGCGCCACAATTTTAGGAAACGTAGGGACCACTACATGAGCGCCGAAATTCATCCGACTAGAAACGTTTCTACTCTTTTGTTTTTCCGCAGCCGATAGCTGGGCCAAGTACTGGTGGCTTAAGGGTGCGAGGGAATTCATTTTTCTCCATCACTGCTTGTTCGAGTGTGCGTGCATGCTGAAGACTAAGGGGCTTGCTAGACACTCCTAAGACACGTAAAGTTCCTGAGGAAATTGTCGTTTCACCTATCCTCGGGAATGAAAGGAAAAAAAAAATTGAAAATATTTTCTCCAGGAATCCTCGGGGTGTCCTCAAGCTACAACCATTTTGTGGCCTTCCCCAAGGTACCTTAGGGGTCCCTCGGAAGTCAAGGATCCGCGATGATCGAAGCGGCGAGGGCACCCATTGTCGGCGAGAATTTTTTGTCAGTTGCTTCATTGGAGTACCTACCAGCCACCGCACAGACATCTTGGGTCGTCATCTTTCAGCTTCCAGGATCCTTACGCCAACCGTAATCGTTGGTGCTCGGGCGGCCTCCGCGAACGTCTTCAACCGGTGTTCTCCCTCGCAGTGCATGCCGCCAAACAGAAAGGGCTTCAACGGTTCAACAACGTTTCCTTTGAAGAAGTTAAAATACAATCTGCAGTCGGAGCCTCTAAAGATGTCGCCTATGGACTTAGGATTCGAGATTTGTTTTCTAGTTACGTGACGTCAGCAACAACGTTTATCGATTTCCCTGAACCTGGCACCGAACCGGGTTATGTCCATCGTTGCAATACCATTGTCACTCGAATTCATGGGCAGTGAGTCATGCTTACTTCTGGTATACTGGCTGCATCCAGACGATATTCTGGTCGAGCCATCCGCGTGTTGTGGCCAAGTTAGATGTCGCCTGTGTGAGGCTCAATTGTCCGATGTCGTGCCTTGTTGTACGTGGGGCGTGCCGATGGAGTGGCGACATTAACCACACTTTTCACAATATCCTTGATCAGGTCCCAAAATGGGTTATTTCCATCACGGTGTTGCATCCATTTTAGCCCTGCAAGGATGATATTACTCGTGTACTCGAGTTTCTCGATTTCGACTGCCAGCGTGAGTATTCCCAAGCAGGTCATCCCCATGTCACTACATTTATCCGTGATTCGAAGGATGGTATTAGCTACGGTAGCGAACTTTGTTGTTTTAGGCCCGAATGAGGCCTGGTTTTTGTAAGTTTGAAAACGTAGGGGTCCAGGGCTCCAAATCGAATCACGATTTTTGAACTTGTGTGAAACTGATACTGCTTTATCAAATTCTGCAACTATCAGCCTAGTTTTAAAAAAATCGAGAATGCCCAGACCTGCATCAGTTCGTTCCAAGCTAAGTTCCTTGGGGTAGCACTGCATAATTTTATCAAGGCGGTCATTTGCTTTCTTATTTCTCGCCGGGTCATTTTTATCGGAAAAAGAAAAGAGCAACAAATAGTCAATGTATATTTTCACTGTGATGAATTTAGCATCAACGTCGAGTGAGGAAATGAAGTTGTACTAAGAGTACATACACATCACACAGGCCAACGCGGGGCTTGCTCTCCCACCCATAGGAATTCCTTTTTTTCTGGCGTAGAATAACATCTGAGACCAAGAACACAGTGTGTCTCAGTTGAAACTTAGTCAAGGTGATTAAGGCAGTGAGTCAAATGAAATTTCAACCGGCTTCTCCATGAGATTTCCCGAAGGTTGCCATATTTTTCCGAGTGTTGAGTCAGATCCACTGTACACCTTTCTGCACAAACCACTCAACAATCCACTTCACTTTATGATCAACTACCTTATAGGGTCGTTGGGTGAACATTTCTTTGATGTCATAGGTGCGAGCTACTACACCATATTTGGAAAGAGGTCCTTCTTTATCATTGACCTTTGTGATCTCATGTCGAATGTCACCTATCGTTCTGAGATTGAAGTGAGGAACTTTGATCTTTCTAATAAAAGAGATCAAACCTAGGGACAAGACTCCTGATGCAGCATGAAACGAGCTTTGGAATGAAGGGACAATTGGTCTTCTTTTTTCTTTGTCCTTTTCTTTGGCCATAATGTAAGCATACTGCAATTCTCCACGTCTATCCCATCGCGCAGTCTTTCCCAATTTTCCTGGTGATTGTAGTTAGTATGAATATCACGCAAAATCACGTTTTTTCAGAATTCACTCTTTCATAATTCACATTGTTAAGAAACATTGTATTGAGTCCCATTTCATACCTCATAGGACACTCAATCCAAGTTTCGTTGGTGTTACCATCCAGCGAGGCTAGAACCAACCCAGTGAACACTTGCTTTATCCCAAGAACATATTCACTCAAGATGCATACGGGGTGCATAGTCTCTCCTTTCTTTGTTACAAATCCGTACGGTATTCATAGCTGACCAGCTACTACTCCATTCTTTCGAATCAAACGAATGCCTCATTGCAGGCTCGGTTCAATCCATCTCTTGATGCGATGATCTTGGGGAATGGGATGTTTTTTTGCATTGAATAGGAATGGGTTCATTCCATTGACTTCGCTAATTTTGACCGCGACATGCCCATCGATTTTGGGTAGGTCGAAGTTCTCGCATACACACTCGAAGGTGCATCGTTGTGCAAAGAGTTTTTGATTATGCAGCAAATCTCCAACTGACTTGGCCTTTAGCCAAACAGCTCAAGTTTTTTTCGTCTACAGGTCGGCTAGCGGGGCAGGTTGGACATTATCCGTGATCCAATCTTTCAAATAACATTCCACCTTCTTTTTATCCACAGTAGTGCAGAAATGAATTTTAGCAACGATCTTAGCACGGGGGTTGACACCAAACGTTTTTTGGCACACATTTGTTAAGATGCCACAAACTATCTTTCGTCCTCGTGGTTAATTGATATTTTTAACCACGGAATCCAACTCCAATAGTTTGATGAGGCTCCGTTTGACCAGATCTTTTGGGGCTCAAAGGAGCGAAATTACCTCAACTTTTTTAATACCAGTTTTGGTTTGAGTTCAGATGAGCTGGGTAATCGTCCAATCTCCGCCTTTCTCGATGACATACTTGGCATCGTTTAACATAAAATTTTCATTTTCAATTTTCAACTTGATATGTTCAAACAACAGAGACACCAAGCGCCATGCTTTCATCCAACGTCCACATGTGTTGTTAGTCACGGTTACAGATTTCGTTACCTTATTTTTAACCAGCATTTTTAAAACAAGAAGCAAATCCGGTTCATTTTCCACATTCACATTAGAGAATGAGAACAACAACTTAAAAGGTTTCAAAATTTTAACCGTAGTTAATGGATCACGATGACGTTTCCCGTGAGACGTTCGTGGGTGTCGGCGTCTCGCAGCTCCACGAGCATTCAAACCTGGGTTCAAACTGTTAATGATTGCATGTTCCATACATTCAATTTCAGGATCATCCCCGAACCACATTGGTATGGGAATGTATGAGTTGATGTCAATTTTTTAAAAACCAGGAGTGAACCTTCTATTTACTATTCCCTCTGACTGCGCAACAGTGTTCTGCCCAGCGCTCGTGGAGTGATCTAGCAGTCTTACCAACATACACAAGTTTATGATTAACAGATATGAGTACATAAACGCAACTGTGTGCATCAATCAATTTATTCCATTCATCATGATTTAGGCGCAACCAGAATCGGATATACGTTAGCCCCCAGTGCACATCACCCCTTAGGCAAGCTAGGATAGTAATAAGTATTTGAAAGCGCTAAAGTAGGTTCAGCAACGTAGGATCAATGATCCTTTTTGCACCGATTACTCAAGCAGCAACTCGCCTGACTGATCTGATGCTACTTAGACTCAGTTTCCCTTCACTTTGTCATGGTCATCACCCACGTCGTCATGGTCATTCCTGGCAGGAGTCTCCTTCCAGCGCGACTTTTCACCATCTCGTGTTACCCGTTCTTCCCTCAACGAGTCAGCGTATTCCTGCAGGTCTTGTTTGGCGAGTTCCCACATGGCAACGTCTTTCTTGAAGTACTCCACGTCACGCTCTCTACACAGCTCTTGCACACGTGTGTAGTGTAAAGAGTCGTAGTATTCGGCTCGAATCTTCATATACGCTGCGAAACCATCTTCGTTCAGGTCTTCCTCATCACCTTCAACTTGGACATTTTGTGCTATGTTGACATCTTCGAGATCGACCTCCTCAGGATGTTTTGGTTCAGCACCCATGGCCATCCTTGGATCGATTACCTTTGTCTTCCCTTTCGGATCTGGCAAACCGCTCATGAGCGCAACGAGCATCCGCTTGATGTCGGATAACTCATTCTTTGTGCTTTCCAACTTAGACTGCAATTTCTGTTTAGTACCAGACGGTCCTTCGTCGTCCGAGAGCTCGATGCGCTTCAGCTTAGTTTTTGAACTTCCCTTGGACCTTGGTCTAGCGCGTGCTGCTGATGGAGAGTTTTGAACTAGAGTGCCGGCGACGCTTCTTTTCCGCTTCTCGTTGCTTGAGAGTTCCTTGTTATCCTTGCCTCCTTGCACTTCCCTTCGGAGGCGTTCCAACTCATCCCATTCAGTAGCGTCCAATTTCAACTTCTTGTTAACTTCTTCTAATTTCGAATTGATGAGCTTCAGTGAATCACCCAGCGTAGTAGTAACCCACGATTTCATGTCCTCGTTTTTTTCTGAAGAACGTGCGTCATCTCTGCTTCCTTCGTTAGAAAGTTCGACGATCAGGATCCCACTCCGCTTGGCAGCGCAGTTCTTCGGCACTCCGATCTTCTTTTCCGCTTCGTCAATCGTTTTACTTGACTTGATGCTCTCCAAGATCTCCATGTATTCCTTGGTGAAATAGGCCCGATTTCCCGGACCAGGGAAATTATTAGCAGCGGGACCTTTCCCACCTCCACTTGATGTCGGGCTTCCCCCATGCCTGCCATGGTTGTGGAAGCCCTGATGATTCGGCTGTACGATTAGAGGCTGCTGCGGTAGTGCCATCTGAACAAGCAATTGAGTTGGTGGTTGCGTTGTTGCCGAGATCGACGGAGACGGTACTACATGCCCCATCCATGGTACGATTCCCTGCCACGGAGCGGACTGCTGCTGGGGTGGCCCCCATGGCTGCGTACTCCATTGGTTCAATACAACTTGGTACTGCACTGGTGCGACAGCCGGGGCTGATGGCGCTGATGTCCCCGAAGGCGGATGAACCTATCCTCCGGTGTAGTAGAGAGGAGGAACACCTGTTGACGCCAAATTAGCAGGGGCTGAAGTGACAGAATACGGGATACTAGGCCCTGGTTGGATCTGCGCATAGTGGTTACCAACTTACCACTCCCGCCCTCCATCTAGTAGCGGTCAGAGTTAGACCACTTGCCACGTCGATTCCAGGCCTTCCCGCCTTGGGTCCTTGAGTACATGCGCCCCACGATGAAAGAGATGACACACAAGCTTACTCCCACTCCGACCACCACCTCAATCACACGAGGGTGATCGAGAAAGTTGCTTGACTCGATAGAGGCGGTAGCTTTTACCACCATAACCAGCGTGTCGCCGGTGCCAAATGACGTAAATTCGTGGTCCGCGGCTTGCGAAGCTAATATCGCATGAGCGCATCCATACTAAACTAACTGAATGAATAAAGGTAAAGACAACGGAAGGAGAGAAAAGAGAAATGAAAATAAATGAATATAAATGCAAATCCCAGTACGCCCATTACGTAAACGATCGAGCACAATAGCTCGAGTCTTCCACAACGAATTATCGAACTAATAAGATGAAAGATAAAAGAAAATCATCAAAGATGACAGATAACAGATCAAATAGTTGTACAGAAAAAACACGACTCCACATAGTAAGCTCAAATGAAAATGGCACCTCAACCTCGTTCCCAAGCCACGACAAGGTCGACGCTAAGGCTCTGGTCCATGAGAATGATTACACACAATTGAACCAAGATATAGAAGAAGATGCCTTGAGCATTAATATCATGGCATACAACATCTTCCGCTCCACTCTTCCATAACACGTAGTTACAGAACTCAACCCTTCCACTCAATACACCACTCAGATTGAGGATTCCTACCTTACTACCAATCGCTTAAATAATCACAGAATAGGGCTTGCCTTCCTCCTTCCTAGTGCTCGATCGTCACCGAGAACGAAGATACTGATGTATGAGGCCGACACGCTCAGCCAGATGCTTATAAAAAGAATCCATAGTTGAGAACCCGCCTGAGGGAGGCTAGGCTTCCCTACGACAAGGTACTACTAGTTCCGATGTATAGAGTTTGATTCCCGGATAGGTACCTTCAAACGATCCCTCACCATGAGGCGCGTTGCAAAAAAACGGGTTGTCGAGCCCTAAAACAACGTTTCCTTTGAAGAAGTTAAAACACAATTTGCAGTCGGAGCGTCTGAAGATGTCGCCTGTGGACTTAGGACCAAGCCCCATCACCAACCAATGTCATTCTGGCCTCGTCCATTTGCAAACCACTGGGACCAAGGACATCAGCAGATAGCAGCCAAGCCACCAATCATAACCATAGTTGTAGTTCCAATCATCCTGCTCTTTCAGGCACTGGCTGCAGTCATCCAGCAAAATTTCCTCTCAACCTTACTCCGACAAGACTTACCACGGTAGAGCCACCATCTCCACTGCTGCTGTACCCTATTTTCACCCTACAGGCTAGACTGTTTGCCGCAGAGTGCATTATCTCCAACCATCACAGGCGGTACAACCCATTGTCACCAGCACCAAACTTATTGAGAATTTTCCAGTTGGAACCTCGTAAATAAAAAAGTCAGGAGACTCAGATGCACGTCGCGCAGGAAACTTAGTCACGAAAGGCAATCAACGCCTGCTACTCGCACAAGGAGAGAGGAAGGGAGGGAACAACCTCTCTCCCAATGGAAATTCCTTCGCCTATTCACGTCTTTGCTGGATGTAAAAGGCTTACATGAAACCGAGCAGATTACTTCTCCACCCCAAAAGATGACCCCCTGTCCTCTCACTGCCTCCGCTGGAAGGCGCCCCTCACCTCCTGGTCCATTTCAGAACAGCCCCCTAAATCACTCCTGCTCCCTCAGCTGCATACAATAACCCCAGACCTAGAGTATGGCCCCGTGGAGCCGAAGATCCCCCTTCCCTCCTGTCCCACGCCCTCCGAGTGAAACAGCCTCTCAACCTCTCACCCCTTGTCCTCTCTCCCCAGCCGCCATAGCTGATCCGACCCAAAAATCAACATGGCCCAGAAAAGAACAAACCCACAATAGCGCCCCTAACCTCTCAAGGATCACACCTCCCATCTCGTATAACCCTCGCAGAGAGGGGCTCCTACCCCTTAAGGAGACGACTTCAATCAGCACCTATGAGCCCAAACCCTACAGTATCGCAGCCTGAGACTCAATTGTGACCTGTTTTTTTAGAATCCCCGAAACAAATGAAATCAAGTGTCGAATTCAAGAAAAAAGAGCCCAAGCTTGAATGTATTTTTTTGAGGGGGGAATTACCAATTAAACCACAAGTGCACGGCCCCAGCCTTGCAGTCCGAAACTTGTCGCCACAAGAAAACAAGGCCGAAATGTCAAACGCTGGGCCAGCCATTGAAAAATTCGATCGGAGGCCCCGTTTTCTTTTCGCGCCGCCATAATTTGAGGTGTCAGACTCGCGGCTCAGGTGCGCATGTACTGGTGTTTTAAGATAGTCCACACTACCACCTATCGGAATTAGATTCTAATTTCCAGACATCAAACACCAAAAAGCCAAGCCTCAAATTCAGAACTGGATCAGAGTTGGATAAACATAAGACATCAATTCAACTTTGAGAATCCATTTTGTAATTCGATCTTGGTCATCATTCTTTGGGATCAGGGCGGAGATCTGATTTACAAATTCCAGATTGGGAATCTTGCTCAGAAAAAGTTTCATGATCAATCGATTACAGGCAGAAGAAACCAAGAGATCAGAATTAGGGCCTCGCTGCACTACTCTAGACTCTCGAAATATTTCGAGAGTTTGTCTAGCGTTGTCAGAGAGGACTCTCGAAATACCCGCCTTCGCTGCACTTAGGGTCTAGTTAGACACTCCTAAAAGTGCCTGCTTTTAGGATTGCGTCTTGGTTGCACGCAATCCTAAATCCAATTTTGAGATAGAAAATGTGAAAACGGCTTTAGGGCGAGTCCTAAAGGATTTAGGATTCCCCAGGCAAAATCGTCCTAAATTTTCCAGTAGCCCCCGACCTACTGAAAAATTTAGGATTCCCGCGTTTCACGGACTCGTTGTGTCGCGTGCATGGCACCGTCGACACGGAGTTGCTGGTGCAGAAGCGGTCCGTCAGGTCAGTGGTCGGACATCGGAGGTTTTCTGCGGGTCGACGCGGGCAACGGCCACGAACGGTGACCATTGGTGGGGATTGGACGGACATTGCCAGGAATGGACGGACATTGGCGACGCGGTTGCGTATACGCATATGAAAACCAGCCGAGGGAGACCTTTTAGGACGAATCCTAAAAGATGATTTTTAGGATTGCGTGTAACAACGCCGCGCGAAATCCTAAAAATCCTTCAGGACTCATCCTGAAAATTTTAGGATTCTTTTATGAGTGTCTAACGAGACCCTTACTCTATAAACTGTTACACTAGATGAACTCTCCAAACCCTGCGCGTCGTCCCACTCGACAGAAGAGCTGCAGCACTGCACTACGGGACAAAGTCTGGCCGCCGGGACAGGAGGTCCACTCTCGAAAAACGAGCGGGTCGGCGGCCAACTCCCGAGGACACTTGTGAATCCGTGTTTTGCAGGCGGGCGACTCTCGACGTTTCGAGAGTGGCCATGTAGTGTGCCCACTGACAGCCCTCGATGGGGTTTCGAGAGTTTCCCGATCGAGAGCAAGTGCAGCGACGTCGCACTCTCGAAAATTCGAGAGTCTAGAGTGGTGCAGCGAGGCCCTTAGACTCTAGTTTGTTACGGAAGCGAAATCATTCAAAAGAATCAACCTCTGGAAGAATATCAGAAAGACAACCTCCGCTCAAGAAAATTCAGCCACAAGCGACCTATCACTGGAATCTCAAGAAAAAAACATGGCAAATCAAAGAACGGACAATGATACACAAAAGACACAGCCCCAATCACAGACACTAGCCCCAAATCGAATCAGAGACATGGCAGCAACCACATCTGATGTCACTAAACACTCAAGTTGAAACGCAGCAACAGCCTCTTGTGATATCCGCATCTCAAAATCGCTTGAGATGTAGACAACTAAAGATGAAACCGCCACCTACCGCCTTTTTCGTGATAAACAGTCTGCGCAAAATCATCTTCCTCCACTTTCATGTCAGCCACGTTGCCCCGCTGTCACTTAAAATCACAGTTAACTTCCTCGCCCAAACTCACCCCCTCCGTCTTTGCGGGAGCGAAGAAACCTCCCACTGAGGACTTTCTTGCGGTCTGGGACTCTGGGATAAATCAGGCCAGTGTGCCTGCCTTATCCCGAATGACCGCAGTATATAATGTAAGGGACACTGCGCCTGGTTCCCAGCTTATAATGAAATGGGGTTAAAAAAAAAAGGGGCAACGGCTCGTGGGTCACAACCCACGTTTTGAATGGGCAAGAAAAACAGTCGTCCGCAGGTCCGTCCCAACCGTAGTTCAAAATGGCAATAATAACAGTGACCCGCGTTATACACATGGTGCCTGTTCGAAACAGGCACTTTTGTCCTTTTTTTTTATTTTTTTTTATCCGTCGTATGGTCGCGCCGCGCCTCGCCACGCGGCGGCTGGAACGGGGAAAAAAAAAAAAAAAAAAAAATCATGGTCGGGCCACGCCGGGGTTTGGCCGATATATCTGGGCCATGGCCAATCTGGGGTGTGGCCGAGACATCTCGGCCGTGGCCAATCGGGGTGTGGCCAAGACATCTCGGCCGTGGCCAATCTGGGGTGTGGCCGAGACATCTCGGCAGTGGCCCAACCATGGGCCCCAAACACCTTTTT